GAACTGCAGAACTGCAGTCAGCTGAAGTAGCCTGCAGTGCTGCATTTAACCACTGCGCCATCTCGGCTCTCTCTTGGGATGCAGTCATAAATTGTGGTGTCATGTGACTGTATCACTTAGAAAGGTCAATTAAAGTAGCTTCAGTTGCCATTGTAAGCACAATTGGGAAGTCCCAGGAGTCCAGGTAAGGAGCATAGCAGAGTCCACCTGAGAGTTGGGGGAGGGGATTTGTGTGAGTACAGGGAAGCCCATAGGAAAAAATGTGTGATGTGGTGCTTTGGATGATAGGAGATAGGACTTACAGAGCAACTTGTGATTTTTCCTTGCTGGCTTCCCAATTGACGTTGCTTAGGGAAACTGGCACAGATGGTGACCATACAGCTATAGGATGCTGTAACCAACATAAATTCAAGCTTTTTGCTAAGCACCCAAATTATGATCACATGACTGTGGGGCGCTGCAGCAATTGGAACTTTGAGTATTTGTTGTAAGTACCATAGTAGCATCACCAGGAATCATCCAAATTGTTTACCCATCCATCAATTTTCTCTGAGGTTATTCTACCATTTAAGATAACCAAGGAGAATTATTATGTTGTTCTGAATTTTCTTCCCACTTTACTCACAGATGAAGAAATTAGCAAGGCGACAACAACAGCAACAGCAAGATCAGCAAAACACACAAAGATTCACTGCAAGTAAGATTTGGTCTCTGATTTTCTTTTCACGTGGGAACTCTCTCTCTCTTGAAAATGAACCCATTCTACTATTCTGAAAATAAGATGTAAATTCTTTTCAGGGAAAGTACAGTGGTTATTAATCAAGAAAGGGAAATATATTCCAACTGTTTCTCTTTACAAATTCAGGTTTTGTATATATTTTATTACAGTGCTTGATTAACCTATTTCAGCCAAAGCCTGAATGAGTTCCAGGCAACTGTACTGGAGCCATAAACAACCAGGTAGGACAGTTCTAGCCTGAAGGGAGAAGATGCTGCTATTGTGGATATGTAAACCTGAAAATACATGCCCAGAAATATACACACCCATTAAGCATTTATCTCCATACTCTTGTTTTCCCTTTCATATACAAACAGATACATACACAATTTGTTCTCCTTTCTTGGGCAAATATTTATTCATATATTCGACTTACAATTGGGATCAGAATTTCTGCTTCTAAGGAAAGTAGGTGCTGAGTGAGGGGTGCCAATTTTGTGAGCTTTTTTGCTATGATCGTTAAGCAAATCACTGTAGTTGTTAAGATTACTCATTAAGCAAATCTGGCTTCCTCCATTGACTTTGCTTCTCAGAAGCCAACTGGGAAGGTCATAAATGGCGATGACATGACCCTGGGATACTGCAATTGTCATAAATGGATGCTGATTGCCAGGTGCTCGAATTTTGATGCAGTGGGGATGCTGTGATGATAGGACCAGTCATAAACCATGAGTCTTCTAGCATTCATAGACTCATAGGGCTGGAAGGAACAGTGGAGGTCTTAGCCCAATCCCTGCTCAAGGTAGGAGCCTTATACCATCCCAGTCAAATGGTTTTCCAGTCTATTTTTGAAACCTCCAATAATGCATCACATCCAACCCTAGGAGGCAAGCTATTCCATTGAAAATTTCTCCTTACTTCTAGGTTGGATTTCTCTTTAACAAGTTTCTACCCATTAATTCTTGNGTCACATATATACTGTGCATAACCGGGGCCATATAACATTAAACAATAAACACAGCCATTCCTCTTGTCAACAATACCCCCCCAAAAATATGAAGAATTATTGATCTACAAATGTGTACCTTTTGTAGGACAAGGTGGTCTTTTGTATGGCAGAAATGTACCTTTTATAGGGCAATATGGTCTTTTGGCCCACATTCTGATGTTGTGATTGCAGTTTTGCTTTACGAGAGTTATATGTTTATTTTCATTTATTTATATAAAGGAAATGAGTGGTGGTGTACTTCTCTTTCTCCTCAGAGGCGATGACAATGGGAAAATTGCATAAAGAACTTGGTCAGCTAATTGTTCAGTCTGCAGAAGATCCAGAGAAATCAAACAGTCAAGTTATAAAGGTTAAGCTTCTGTATTACTTCAGTCTTTAATATTATTTTGTTATATGCTCCTGGTTTAGAATTAGTTATTAGTATTTAAGCCAGGGTTAAAGATGGTTTAGATGACTGACTGAGCTCTGGCAAAACTTCAGGCTACGTGTCTTTCTATGGAAGGCAGAGAAGGGACCAGCTTTAATTTTAAGATGAAAAACCTGCTTTTAAACAAAGCTGGAGCTGAAATTAATTTGATTTAGAGCAAGCCATTGTTCCTTGAATCCATATGTAATGTAGAACTGTAAGTTCTTCATAAATTAAATTGGAAATATTCACCACCTTAATTTACTTACATAAATATGTGAGTCAAAAGTTGACCAGAGCTGGTTACCCCTTGATAATCTGAATAGGAATGGGTCATCTGTGGCCTCAAAGTAACTGTTTTTCCAATCAGTGAAATATCCATATTTGCCACTTTTGATTCCTTAATTTATTTTAAAATACAAGTTTTTGAGATAAGAAGCAAAAAGCCTATAACATAAACCTCAAAATAATAAAATTGCTTTTAGAAAAAGACAAAAAATAACCCACTTAAAATCCTTCAAAACCTAAGATAAAAAGTCCTAGTCCCACCATAATTAATTGTAATTGTAATTTAATAAGTTTATATGCCGCCCAATCCCGTAGGACTCCGGGCGGCTTACAANTTAGATTATTGCTAAGAGGTAATACTTCGAGAATCGACAATAGTGGATGGCCTTGCTTTTTGTCAAGCTAATGACTATGGTGGTAATTGTAGCCAGTAAAAGGATTGGCTACTCAAAATTCTTCTGATCAAGGAGAGGAAAAGGGATTGCCCACAAGATTGCTCCATACAGAATCTCCCTGCAGAGAGATCATAAAATAGCGATCTACAGGAGGTTTAAGAGCTCTGGGAGACATTGGGTCTGCCTACTTTCTCTCTTAATTACTTACGTCTTTCAAATTAAGAGTCTTCCAAAATACAAGCTCTACTATCCCCCTAGGAAAATCACCTTCCACCTTGGACAGTAGAAAGACTGATGTAAATGTATGGTTTAAAAAGAAAAATCTTTACTTTTTTGGAAAACAGCAAAAAGGAAAGTAGAATGTGGATGTTTGAAAGTTATGGGGGCTTGATGGACTTGAAGGAATATCTCCTGTGTGGTATTTAGAAATTATAAAGTAATATATGAAGATATTGAAATTAATTGTAATAAATCCTCTGAACAGAAAGTTTTATTGATTGGGAAATAAGCAAAATAAGCAGAAGGAACACAGGTCACATTGTGGGGTTTAGCGAGTCTTTCAAAAATGACAGTGGGTGAATGTTTGCATGGGTTAAAAAAAAACACCTTATATTTATTCTTTTTGGCCCAGATTACTGAAGCTCAATTTATTTTTACAGAATATACCTGAAATACGGGACTCCGGTAAAAATGATGGAGAGTTATATTTCTGTCCTTACAAAGGGGATTTGTCAGAGTGAAGAAAATGGTTCTTTCCTAAGCAAAGATTTTGATATCAGGAAAGCTTATCTTGCAGGTTCAGTCAAAGGTGAGGTATTTTTTAAAAAAAATATATCAGTAATACAGTTCGGGTTAAAACTATGCATTTTTGAAAATAAGCTCCCTTTCTTTCAATGAAATTTATTTCCACCACAAAAGCGCGCTCGACAAAAGCGCGCTCGACAAAAGCGCGTACGTGACATCATCACAGCGCGACGAAAACATTGCGCTGTGATCGGTAAATGTAAAATTAAAGCGAAAACCTTACCCTAACCCTCCCAAACCTAACCCTAAACCTAACCCTTAACCTAACCCTTA